AATTCTGTAAATATCAAGAGAAAGCAGGCTTCTGAATGAGATGTGAGTGAGAATGATGAAGTAGACACTTATCTCAATGTCTTGAGACCTGAAATGTTAATGTATAAGAGACACTTAAGTAAGAATTGAGAGATGACTGCAAAAGTGTTAGTGAACACAGAAGCTTCTATACAATATATTGATAATTATATAATTTAAAGACTGAAAGAGATTCACTGAGTGAAGAATTCCTGATGTATAAGATTATCTGATAACTGATATTTAATATCATCTGCAAGAGTAAGAGTTCTCTTACACTTCAGAGAATGATCTTACTATATTTGAGTGTGAGAGCTGCAGAATATGAAATATAATCTTATTCTTGAACTTGATTGATTTCAAAGGTTCAATCTGCAGATTCAATGATGTACATGTCATATGTGATTGACTGATAAGAAGAAAATGATTCATACAATTCTATCAACTGATATGAGAAGAATATTTCATATCTCTGATATAGAAGAGTTAAATCTGCTTACACACTAATAAGTAAAGAGAATGATTCACAAGATCTCATCTGAAAGCATTCTGTATGTCATACAGAATCTGAAAGTGAAGAAAATCAAGATAAAGAATATACAGAAGATCAAGTGTATGAAGAAGCTTCTGAAGAAGTATGAAAAGATCTTCTGAACAGATCTTTCACTGGAATTATCATCAGAATGAGGATTCATACATGAGATTGACATGAAGGATGCAAAACCAGTTAATCAGAATATGTACTCTCTGTCACAAATGCATCTTGAAGAACAGAAGTGTCAGATCACAGACCTTCTAGAATATAGTCTCATACAATTCTTATCAAGTGCATGAGGCTTTCCAGTTCTATTCATGAAAAAGACAGATGAAAAGTGATGAATGTGTATCAATTATCAAGCACTTAACAAGCTTATGATCAAGAATGAATATTCACTATTATGAATTCAACAACAGTTAAATATGATTGAAAACACTTAATATCTATCAAAGATTGATCTTCTCTCAGAATACTGACAGATTTATGTGAATGAACTGTCAGTCCTGCAAACTGTATTTAATATACAATGAGAAAAGTTCAAATTTCTGATAATATTATTCAGTCTGATAAATGCATCTGTCATCTTTCAAATGATGATGAATATGATTCTTCATAAACAGAATAAAACCTTATATCTTGTATATCTCAATGACATTCTAGTCTTTTCAAACTTATATGATAAACATCTGAAGTATCTTAATAAAGTGCTTACAACTCTGACAGAGTATAAACTCTACATCAAATTAACAAAGTGTGTATTTGAAATGAAAGAGTTGAAGTTTGTAGAATATGTAGTGAGTGATGACTGTATATATCTCATCTCAGAGAAATTGAATGTCATAGTGAATTGACTGTGACTGAGAAATATATATCATGTATAACAGTTTCTTGAGTTGATCTCATATTATCACAGATTTATCAAGGATTTTGCATGAATATCTGCATCACTCTCAGATCTCTTAAGAGAAATGAATGCAAATCTGTGAAAGAAGAAGTTTTATTCAATCATCTGAAATACTGTGTACAAAGAGACTTTTCTCACACTGAGAAAATGTGTAATAACATTCTCAGTGCTTATTCAATCAGATTGTAATAAATCTTTCTACATTGAGATGAATGTATCTGAATGAGCTATTGAAGATGCTCTTCTACAGATGAGTAAGAACAGCAAGCTGCACTCAGTGATGTATGATGATAGAAAACTATCAGATACTGAGCTCAATTATTCAGTGTATAAAAAGAAATTGCTAGCAATCAAGCATGTGCTGATATTATGAAATAGATATATTAACAACAGATATATAATAACAGTGATCACAGATCATAAAAGCCTCATCTATCTATAATTAATAATAAAATCTTTCAAATACTTAGTATATTGAATCTCAGAGTTTCAAGTGTACAATCTTCATATTAAATACTGAAAGAAATCAGATACTGTGATATCTGATGCAATCAGTTACAGACCTGATTTCATGAGTGAGAGTTCTGCAAACCAGATATAAGAAAAGTTCATGTTAAATGTACTGAGAAGATATAAGAAATCAGAATGAGTGAATACAATGATTTCTCACTTGAAGAATGATAAGATATCAGATGATAAGTATCTCACAAAAGTAGTAGAAGAGATGCTTTCAAACTTCAAGCTGAGGAAATTGAAAAATGATGTTATGCTTTATCATAATCTAGAATATATAGAAGCTCTCTATCTAGAACATTTATTTAGATATGACTTAATGACTTACATGCACAAGGAATTCAATTACTTAGAAAGCTCTGAACTCATAAGTATACTCAAATCAAGAGTATACTGATCAAGCATGGCTGAGGGACATTCAGACATACACTCATGAGTGCTTGAATTATCAGATTATGAAAGAATCTAAGAAAGAGTTAGAATGTGAGAAAGTATAATATCAGATGAAGTATATAATACAACTGTTCAAATAATGAGAGATGAATCTCATAGATATATTACTGTAAATATTAAATGAAAATTGATGAATAATCACTGCTATTAATTACACTACTGACTGATCAGTTGTAAAAGCAGTTTCAGAGATAATAGAGAAGATAATGATGAAGTTTCTATATAATGAGATCTATATTAACTATGAAATGCTGTGTGAGATTCTAACTGATAACAGTGTGAATCTCATAGAAGAAGTGATGAGGCATTTTATAAGCCAGTCACAGACAAGATATCATAGAACAATGCTATATCATCTGTGAATGAATAAGAAGATAGAACACTTGAATGAAATCTTGAGCAATATGCTGATGAAATATCTAGTGAGCAAGCCTATAAGATCATGAGATGAATATCTCAGACAGGCACTATTAGCCATGTGAATTTGACAGCATGCAGTCTCTAAGTGTTCATCATTCTACCTGTTGTATGAATTGCATCCGCGCATCCCGGAGAATGCTTTGAAAAAGGTGAGAGAGGAAACAGCAGTTGCAGATACAACAGTCACAGGCACAACAGTTATGAATGCAGCAGAAACAGCAGTTGTGAACACAGCAGTTGCAGACATGAAACCAAGATTGAAGGAGATCTGTCATGTATGTATAAAAGCTAATGAGTTACTTCTGAACTGAGCAATTCAATCAAAAAGAATACAAGACTTACTAGTTAAGAAATCAAGTCTCAAGATAAGAATGTGAGTTCTCATTAGACTGACCGTGTGACCGTGTCTGAGACCAGAATCAAACTTTACAGTTGTCATGTTGTCTAAAAGCATTACTTCTGATCATAATTTGTGTTCATCACATTGATCTCAAATCACATTATTTCAAATATTAAAGATCTCAGATTCACTTTTCAAATAAAAATCTAGTCTCAGATAAAGAATATATTTGAATTCTTAGTCACATTTTTATTCTGATCTCATTATTGAGAATGGTATTAAATAAGACTATAAAATCATTTCTCACTTACATAATATCATAACATAGTACTCATTTGTTGAAAATTCAATAGAGAGTGTTATCAAATATTATTACTTTTCTGAACACAGATCATAATTTATATAATTTTAATTATAAAAAAAACATAAAATATAAAAAAAAACAAAAAACAAAAAACAAAACAAACACAAGAAAAAATCACAATAAAAAAAAAAAAACAAAAGAAAAAGAAAAAAACAAAAAATAAAAATAAAAAAAAATCAAGATCACAGAGCTGCAGTATCTCTAAAATACTCACTTTTCAGAGTCTTTACAATGTTTATTATCAACTGTGTATCTCTCACAGTGAGAATAACATAACTGTGATAAGTCATTATCTTAATATTATCTAATAAATAATCAGTATATATCTGTATAAATGTGAATAATTAGAAAACATACACTTAAAAAGTGTGATCAGAGTGAACTCTGCTGTCACTTGAATGATATCAAGAGTAGAATACTGAAATCAATGATTTCTCTCATCAATTTCACAGATAAGACATGTGAAGATGATCTTAAAGAATATAAGATCTCTCAACTTCTGATAAAAATGAATCTCACAGAGAGACTCTATTTTCATAATATCAGAGACTGAGTGTTATCAAAAAGCATTACTTTTATACAATGTATATACACTTACTGTGATAATTCACTCTCTATGCATATAACTGAGAGTTGCAGCTTTTTCACACTGCACAGCTCTTTCTGAGATGCTATCATCAGTTTGCAACTTATACAGTCTCTCAGTTCAGTATGTACTGCATGTATACAGCTCTGCATGCTGAGACTGTGTTGACTATTATGGCCTGATATGATACTCACTTTTCATGAGTCATGTTTCATTTGAGAGGGAGGAGAAGAAAGACACAACTGTTATTTTATTAAAGAGAAAATGAATAATTAGTATTATTGAATATAATTTAATTCATCTGTATTTAAAATTTGATTAGTCTATACTCTTCAATTTGAGGGTTTCTATGAGTGTTTTAATAGTTTTCATATCAGCTTGAACTTAGTGATGAGTTGAAGAAGAAGAGAAAAGAGAGAAGAAAGAAATAAGAATAACTTATCTTTATAATATAAAAACAGAGAATCACTGTAATTATTCTTTCTAGTAATAAAGATCTGTTTTCTGCATGTATTTCTGATATAGATTATATGATAAATGCATACAAAGAATATCAATAGTGTATGTATTAAATGAAGATAATGTTGCTATACAACACTGTAGCTGTTTCTGTACATCTCTGAAAGCTGTTAATAGTTTCTTTATCTCTTTATATTTGATAAGTCAATAATATATTTCAATGCACTTCTTATTTCATCATCATCATCATTATCATTATTATTATCACTATCATCATCATTATTATCATTATTATCATCATCATCATCATTATCATCACTATTACTATTATTATTATCATCATTATTATCACTATTATATTATTGCCTGTCTTCATCCTCTCTTCAACACTTATTAAAATCAATCATGTCATCTCTCTTCAAATATTCTGCGGTTCTGCGGACCATCAAGGCACATGAGCACTATCACAGATTGAAGAGAGAGAAGAAGAAGGTATTTAAGCACAGAGAGACAGATTATAAGACATGTTATAATGCCTTGAAGAGGCTCTGTAAGAGAGTAGAATGATAACAATTTTAAGTAATACTTCTGATAGATTTAGACTGAACTAAGTATAGAAATAATGTGAATAACACTGCCTGTGAGAGATTAGAAAAGAAGATAGTGAAGAGTCTCATGCAGTAGCAGTGAGACTAGAAGAAGTTCTGAGAATGATTTAAGACTAAGATGAAGAGAGAGAGAGAGAAGAAGAGTGTTACTATAAATAAGTAACAGCAGAAGAAGATTGAGAAGATATTAAAGTAAAAGACAAAGAAGTCAAAACTGATAAGTTTTTTATTAAGAGATAATGATTTTTGATAACACTTCTGTTCTCTAATTGATTAGTAGAAGCTGACAGAGAAGGGAATTGAGATCTTGTTCAGGTCTCAAATGCACTCTATGATTCAGAACATTGAGAAGACAGCTCTGCTCTCTGAGCATGCTAATCTGCTTATCACTGAAGTGAAACCTGAGACAGCAGATCAGGAAATGCAGGATTTTGAGACATAGATTGACCTGGCTGAGAGGAAGCAGCAGAAACCCTTCTCTGAGAAGGCAGCAGAGAGAGATTTTGAGATGATTATCATCTCAGATAAGAAGAAGAAGAAGAAGAATAAGAATAAGAAGTGAATTATAAAGAATGATAAGAAGAATGAGAAAGAGAAGAAAGATAATAAGTAGAAAAAGTTTTTTCTTTTTATATTAGTTAGTTATAAGTTTGTAACTATTAGTTAATAATTGAAATTAATTTTAAGTTTTCAAAAATTATTGTATAAGTTGTAATCAATTATCAATATCAGGAATAATATATATATATATATTCAACTATCATGTTACTATAATGTATAAGTATCAACATTTTTTCAACATTGATATTCACAATATTAATATATTTTTAATGATATTATCTGATAACACAATTTGATAACACTCTCTTTCATAATATTAATATATTTCAAGAAATATGATAGAGATTAATCAAGATTGTTTATTTACTTTTATACATTGATAATATTCAATCTGAGTTAGTACTAAAATTATAACTAAGCTAAGAAAGAAGATTATTTTCTCTTATATTAATTCTTCTTACATACATCAGTGATCAGTTATTGAAAATAAATTATCATCTTTCTTAAATTATTATCATATCTTCTGAATTCACTTCTTTCACTTCTTTTACTTCTATTGAAGATTCACAAACTCTTCAAGAAATCACTGTGAATTACAAAGTCTATATTATTTACAATTCAATACAGAATACTCTCTTTCAATCATAATGAATAATCACTTCATTCTTCACATCTGATTTCAGGTCATGAAATTTATGAAAAACTCAACACAAACACTGAGATGAACTATGAAATAATTATTAACAGATTGTATTGCAGATTACTGAAGAGTTATCTCTCTGCTACAATCACTGCAACTTCATTCAGAAATATTCATCATGAACTGATTATAGCTCTGAAGAAATTTTCTGATATCTGAAGTTATCAGAATGCAGATAATAAAAGAAAAATAATCAGAAAATTACTACTGAGCTGATAAGTTACTCTATCAGATAATGATTTTTAATAATACTAACTTTCTAATTTGAAGAAAATCATGTGAAAATAATCATGTATCAGTACTCTGATTTTACAACTCTCATCTAATAACTTCTATGAATAATTACTTTATATATGTATATCTCTGAATCTTTCTCTTTAATTAATTGAAAACCCTGAATTCTGAACACTTCTTCAAATGCTTAATTCAAATCTTCATATTTTATATTGATTCTGTCTTCAGTTCAATCTCAAGATACACTACAAAGTTAATATATAATATCTAGAATCAGAGTTGAAGAATCATCAAAGAGTGTCTCTCACAGTGAATACATGAACTAGTACAAATAATCTTGCATTTATAAGAGTTATATGTTATTATATTGATAAGAACTGAACTTATCAAGAGATATTAATTGAATTTGAATTATTAATCAGTAGTCATACTGAGGATTATATAACAGAGATATTAATGACTGTGATTAAAAATAACTATTAGAATATTAGTCTCAGTCTTCTTACAATTACAACTGATAATGCTGTAAATAACTCCACTATAATGAATAGCTTGAAGCAAAAATTGACTTTGCATTTCTGAAATGATAAACAAGGTCATATTCCCTGCATTGCTCATGTGATTTAACTTATAATATAAACACTGATAAAGAATCTTAACATTGAGATGAAGAATAATAAGATGACTGATTCTTGCAATGAGAATGAGATGAAAGTGATTACTCAAGTAACTTTTACATTCACTTTGTAAAAGATAATGTTTTTTAACAACACTTTTTAATATTGCTTTTTAATAATGCTTTTTGATAACACTACTGTTAATTTTGAATAGATTGACTAATAATTTAAATATCACAGATTTGAAACATTGTTAATGTGATTTGTATCTTCTCTAAACAATAATAACAATTTCATGATATTTAACAAACAAACAAATCAGTCACATCACTGAATATGATACAGAATGTTAGAATACAGTGAAGTTCAACATATGAAATGACTGTTCAGGCTCTTCAATTGTGTCAGATGATTGATCATTAAATACAATACTCTGATTAAGAAAAGATTCAGACATTGAAACTTTCTAATATAAAGTGAACTCAGTTGAAATATGTGATTGATTTACTGTTTCAGTTTTATAAGATAACAAAGACAGTCTCAATCACTTATACATCAATACTGCAGTCAGTCTGGTGAGTGTATAACAGTTTATTTACTTATCTTGAGAAGCAGTTGAATCACTCAAAAAGAAATTCAGTCTGGAATGATGCTATAGCACAGGCTATTATTACTGTAAGGAATAAACTGGCATATTATTACAGTAAAACTGAATAATCTTTTACAGAGTACTATACTGTAGCAGCTCTACTAGATCCCTCTTATCAAGTTAATATCTACACTTCTCAAGATTGAACAGAGAAGGAATAAGACTTATATATCAAATTAGCCTGAGACTACTACAATGCCAACTATCAGAGATTTGAATGAGCAGATGTTCAAGATATGAAGACAGTGAAATATAATTTCTTAGTAAGTAACAATCTTTGATAACACTTCATATCTCATAGAACTATAATACTAACTTTGAAACAGAACTTGTATACATTGATTACAATTGAAAATCAGACAAAACTACATGCTTGTAAAACTGAATTTGACTGCTATCTTCAAGATAATCTGATGAATTTACACATCAAATCAATTCTAGAGTTATGAAAAATTATTGAGAGTATATATTCAACTGTTTCACTGATGATGTGTGATATTCTGATAATTTCATTGACAGAGATGAGAATGAAGTGAAAGTTCAACTCAAGTTGAGATATTTATCACTATCACTGAGAACAATTATAAGAAGAAATAATCAAGAAACTCATGATTATAAAACATGGAATTATCAGACAGTTTAATACCTCTGATCACAGTATATCAGAGAAGTGTAGTTTTCATGAGAAAGTAAAGAATAAACTTGCACAAGAATGTATTTAGTTATTTCATGAGTGTTACTAATAATTATTACTAAATTCTGATTATATAAGCAATCACTGAATAAACTGAATAGAACTGATTTTGATCTTCAGTCTCAGTTTCATTCTGATTTTGAAAGAATGATCATCTTTCACAGTTTATTCTGAGAAATTACTCTCATTTCACTGTTCTTGAATTAAATCTGGTCATTTTTCATACCATTTCTCTCAGAAATGGTCCATTTTCAGATTTTTTTGAGGCTTGGTCCTGGTGGAACTCACGCTAAGAAATGTATGAGATCAGATCAAATGGGACCAAATGTGAAATTCATGGTCCCGCCGGTCAGTCTAGTTCTCATACATAATGAGAGTTCTGAGAAGTTTCAATTTAGATGATTTGAGTCATATAAAATACTCAAATCACATTCTCTGAGAACATACACATTGAAAGAATCAGAGAGATAGATTTTATATAACTTAATAAATGATTCATATCTTATGAAAGTAAAGATATAAGATCTGAGTGAATTATGATTATTCACAGCACTATTATCAGTGTTGAAAAAGAAGAGACTTATAATTGAAAAGTCTCACAAAGTAAGAGAAATCATAGATGCTTATGAATCAGATGATCTCACTTATTCTGATCTTTTCACAATTATAAGAAAAGAATGAAAAGAAATGAAGAAAGTGGATAAATATTACACTTTAATAAGTGATGAGACTGTAGCTGATTGTATGATAATGCATCACAGATAGTGAGTATAATATAATAAAGAGCAGTCTCAAAGTAACAGACTTGTATATGAGTCAGATTGCAGAAGAAAAAGAAATTCAGAGTTGAATTTGACTATTTACATCAGTTCAATCACAGAGATAACAGAGAATGAATTATCTGAAACATTCACAGATGCATGAGATCAAGTCATCTTAATCTCTAGAGACACTTAGAGATCAGATGAGATTAGTTTTGATAAGCTATTCACTGTAGTGATCTAAGCAGATAAAGAGAGACAGTATAATATATAAGACAGAATCATAAAAAGTGAAAGCTGCTGAATCTAGTCACTGAATACTGTATCATATAGAGATTGTGTAAGAGTAGTGACTAACAGATAAAGAAAAAGTGTAAGAAAAGAAAAGAAATAATGAATTGATCATCAACTATAAGAGTCAGCTGCAAAAGACAAATGTTATCATATACATCTCATTCATTTTCATATATCATATGTTTAATCTATTTTCAACATCACATCATCTGAAAAACATCAAAAATAAAGAAAATCTCAAAACTCAAGATCTGCAAGGAATTTGAGAGCTGTAAGTCACTCTTATAACAACACTGTGCATATCTCTGATTCCTCTATCACTCTGTGTACAATATTAATGTCATTTATCACAAGATTGATTGAAATGCTAATATAGAAATGCATATGTGTATATGTAGAAAAATTAAAGAAGAGCACAGAACCTGCAGAATCAGAAGCCAGGGCAGAGAGAATGAAGATGAAAGAAATGAAAGAAGAAGAAGATGCAGAATCAGATGAATGACAGTAAGAGTTACTCAGAGTCAAATACTTACAACTCAGTGTGCATACAATCTTTCTCACAGAGAAGAGAGAGAAAGTGATGAAAGAAGCTTGAAGATGAAAGAGAGTGGTCTCAGCAGCATTGTCATCTTTGATTAAAATGGCCTCTGGCGCTGGAGTAACTAAGAACTATTATTAGTGTATAAAACTGCAAAGACAGGGGTAACAATTACTGAATGAATACTCACTGATCTTAGAATTATACATGCAATTACAACATGCATGAGGCTTCTCAGAAAGAGAGAGAGAGATATGAGAGAATACAGAATGCAGAATGCAGCATGCAAATGACTCATTTTCATAACAATATCTCAGACAAGGTGTATGAGCCTCATACTCACAGATGTAAAAGAGTATGACATTCATATTCCTGTTTCTGAAAACACAGATATCTTTTGCCTGCATCATGAAGTCAGATGACAGATGCTAGAGAATAGGCTGATACAGATCTATCATCTCAAAGAAATTCATCAGAGCAGATATCTCTGTAATGTTGAACTTTACAGTTGTAA